AGAAATAATTTTTATGAGTAAATTTTAAAAAAAATATTTTTTTATCCGATAGAAAAGATGACGAAATTCATCTCAGTAAACAAGTACATGACAGAAGTCAAAGAAGAACTAGACCCATTCACATATTTGAATGTTTACTTCTACCATTTTGAAAAGTCTTCATTTGACAAAGTTTGGAACATCGAACCAGTTAAGTTTGCTATTGTGACTAAAAATGGTGCGAAATTTGAAGACTTAGACATAGAAGGTTTGTTAGCAGTCAAAGAAAATTTTGACAGAAGGTTCTCAAACCTTAAAGAAGGCAAAGCATACAAACTTGTTATACCTTATGAACCAAAGAAAGCAGACGACTATGAATATTATGAGTCTAAGATAGTTGAAGTTCAAGGTAAATTAGGTAAAAAGATTTTAGAGTCTAAGCCGGTGTTTGCTCCTAAAGAGGAAGAGAACATTGACATTGACCCAGAAATGTTCTAAAAATAAAATTTTATTTTTACATGTCAAATTTCTTTTTCTCTGGTTCAGGTTCTTTCTTCTCTTCTTTCTACTTTCTTTCTTTCTTCTCTCTCTTCTTCTTCTTTTCTGGTGGAGTTATGTCAAATTTCTCAGAACCATATTTATGTAAAAGTTCTTTCCTTTAATAGCTCTTCTATTCTGTTTCCTATTTCATCTTCAAGACAGCGCATGTGTCTTCTTTGCATTCTAAGAACTTTTGTTGGACTTCATCTCTCCAAGAGGCGTCATCTCTGTCAACAAGTCTGTCATTGACAAACTTAAAGACTTCTCTGCCTAATGTTTTATGGTTCTTGTCATATTCCCAGAAACAGAACTTTAGAACAAATTCACCTTTCTTGTTTACACTATGTAAGATTTTATGGTCGACAGATGTTTTGCTGTCAAAAAGTTTGTCTCGAATATAGATAGCGAAATCGCTCGACATTTTCAAAAAGATAAAAATTTTAATTTTTCTAAAATATGTTAGAAAAAAAGTTTGCTGACATTGACAAGAAATTTGAGAATGTTTTAAACAAGAACAAGAGGAAGTTAGAAAATGCTCAGATAAAACCCATACATGACAAGTTCTTATTTGCTCAAATGGTAATAACAGGTCTAATTGCACCACCTGGGTCGGGTAAGACTTTCACTTATCTTAAAATGGCTGCACAACAACAAGAACTAGATGAGAAGAACCCATTCTATGAGTTAGTTGTCATTTGTAGTACTTCTGGTCAATTTGACCAAACCGTCAATTCGTTCAAAGATATTATAAAAAAGTCAAAGTTAGTATGTATAAAAGACTCTGAGTTGTTAGATTGGATAAAGAAGTACCAAAGAAGAGTTTTGAAGTACAATGCTATAAATGAGTATGTCAATTCGAGGTTTAAAGACCCAAATGAGGAAATGCAGAGAATATTAGAGAAGAAACACTTCAGAAACAAACAGAAAGAGATAGAATACATTTCGAAGAAATTGCAATCTTACGATTGGAAGACATACCCTCATAGGTGTCTTCTTATCTTAGATGACTTTGCTTCTCATCCTTTGTTAAGAACAGAGAACAAGATATGTGTCGAATTCTTAAGAAGCTCAGACACTTTAAACATCTCAGTTGTCATTTGTGTAGCACAGCAAAGAGTTTAAGTAAGGATGTTAAAAGAATACTTACTGATATCATACTTTTCCCTGGATTGTCCGAAGACGATTTCATGGAACTTATGAAAGAGTCCATGGCAGGTAAGTTTGACAGACATGAACTATGGGAGAAGTACAAAGTCATACAAGACCCTCATACTTCTTTCAGAATTCACATCTACGCGAAAACAAAGTTCAAATTGTAAAAGTCAATAAAAAATAAAGAGTTTTGTGCTGAATTCAATAAAAATATATTTTTAGGGTAGATGGGTATATCTAACCCGATTTCTAACCTCATTTCTACCCATATGTCCTTACTGAAAAAGTACGTGTTCCATATGTCATTTTACTTCAGAATTTTACTCAGAATTCAATAAAAATTATTTTAGGGTAGAAGGTATATCTACCCGATATCTAACCTCTTTTCTACCCAGTTATTTTATAGCGTTTTCATGGTAAACATTGTGAATTCGTGAAATTCTAAACAATTTCGTAGCTTCTATTTCTCTGTCAGTACATCGAATGTTTTAACAATGCCGAAGGTTTCTTTATATTTCTTCTTGACATCTGAAAGAAGGAAATCGTCAGCTGTTGGATAGTTTTTTGTTTAGAAATGTCAACATGTCCATTTTATCTTCTGCTGGTTTCTCTGCCTCCCTCTTTAAGTCAGCATAGTCGTTTCTCATACGTTCTATCTCTTTGACGGAGTAGTTATATTTCCTCATTGCTGCTTTACATTTTGAACATTGTGGGTTCATTTTAGCATTGTACATTGAAATCTTACCTGCTAGTATGACTAAGGCGTCAATTGCTCTCTTTAACTCAAAAGTTGCGGGTTTTATCTGTTCATTCCATATCTTACCTCTTCTATCTTTATCTCTTATCTGCCATACACATTTTGCAACTAACGAAACAAAGTTGTCGTAGGTCTTAAACTCTTCAGATTTATATATGTCAGAGATGTTCTTATATACCATGTCGCAATCTTTGTCCATGACTTTGTGGTTGCAATGAAATCCAAGAAACTCATAGTTAACCTTACGTATGAACTTCTTTATTTCTACTGAGTCAGTTGCTTTGACTTCTATTTCATCGAATTCTGGAATAGTAAGCTTTTGTTGTTGGATTTCAGGCAATTTGGGTAAATGGTCAATAATATCCTGCATTTCATAAAGATATTCTTCATTTGTTTCATCTTTCGCACAACAGTCTAAATTACTTGTTAAAAGTTCTTGCTTTATCTTCTGGATTTCTGTCTCAAAAGTATATGAAGAAGGAATGAAGCTTTTCATCTCTACTAACATTGAAGTTGGGTTCATGACTAACGAGTTTGGTGCTGTTGTTGCTAACATGTTCTTACAATAAAAATAAAAAATATTTTTTTAAAAAAACCAACTTTATTTTTTATTTCGGGAAAACTCATGACAAATTCAAGAGGGTAGAAAAGAGGTTAGAAAAGAGGTTAGATATACCCTTCTACCCTAAAATATATTTTTGGTGTAAATTTCATGAAAATTCAAGAGGGTAGAAAAGAGGGTAGAAAAGAGGTTAGATATACCCTTCTACCCTAAAATATATTTTTGCTGAAAAAGTGTCATTTTTTTCATGTCCGAAGACTCGAAGGTGCAACACTTCCAAAATACCGACGAACTCAGAAGAGCAGCATGGCAGTATCTTCTTGACAACTTCTTTGAGTTCTCCAGGTACACCTTGGAAAATGCTGAAGAACTCCGACACAGAGAATTTGGAGAAATTGCACTCCAATACTACATTGACAAACAAAGGGTAAACAAAGGGTAAAATAAGACTAAAAACTTAACGTTTAAAAAGTGACATTTTTATGAGCTCCGAGTCACCGAGAAAACTTGGTCAGATGTTAGCAGCTTACTTCCCTGAGGAAGATGGAAGCGTTACATACGTAAGGTTCAAAAACAACGAACCTGGAATTGCGTACCAAATTCGCAATTACATGACCATGGAAGAGTACGAAAGGTTTCTACAAGAGAAACCAGCTCTAAACAACTCAGAAAAGAAAGAGTAAAAAGTTTAATTCGTAATTGTTTATTTTTTTACTTGTATGGGCAAGCTGCAAGAATGAAGTCGACTATCTCGGTCTTTGTCTTGACCAGTTGGACTGCTCTTGCGAGTACGTCTGTTTTACGGTCTCCAGCTGGTGTCTGACCTTCGTAATTGCGCATGTTCTTGAGAGCTCCAACTGTAAATGGTTGTAGGATGAAGAGTCTCTCAGACTGCTTGAGGTAGTCTTCACGGTCACGAACCGAATCTGTGGTACGAGTCGAATCGGTCGATTTGAGGGAAGAGACTGAAAGCCTGTCGTCTTCCATAGGGGCTGTGGCATAATCTTTGCGTAAACGGTTCAGACCTTCTTCGAACTCTTGGTCTCTCTTCGATTGAGATTGAGATTGGAATTGTGGGGCAGGGTTTTGCATAAACATCCAAGGGTTGGGGAAGTAAGGCATAGGCTGAGGAGGAGGGTAGTTCGGGAAGCCTTGTGGTGGGTAGTAACATTGAGGTGGAAATTGGTAGTAAATCGGAGGTACTTGCTGGAACTGAGGTTGCTGAGGAGACTGTTGTGGTTCTGCAGCTTTCGGTTCTTCTGGTTGGGATATGGGCTCGGTTGGTGGGACGTCGGACATCTGTTTGTGGCTTAACCGTCGGAAGGAAAAACTTTTCCTGTTGGAAGGAAAAACCTTTCCTGTTGGAAGGAAAAACTTTTCCTGTCGGAAGGAAAAACTTTTCCTGTCGGAAGGAAAAACTTTTTCTGTCGGAAGGAAAAACTTTTTCTGAAGTTCGACCAAAAGTTCTCAATTTTCGAAAATTTGAATGGTTTACGGACGGACAACTGGAAGAGTTCTTCCTGTCGTCGGGAAAATTTTTTCCAGTTGTCGGGAAAATTTTTTCCAGTTGTCGGGAAAATATTTTCCTGTCGGATGGAAGGACTCGGAATGCCAGAAGGATTTGACGAGGCAATTTACCTTATAGAGATAAATGAAGTTGTTAAGCAGTACTTGCGCAGGGTAATGAAGCCCAAGGTCAAGTTCACCAGTATTTCTGGAAGGTCTACACTTCAGCTCGAGACTTCGACTGGAATTCCAATTCAAATACCAGACGGGACAGCCTACGACGACATAAAGGACGCCAAAAGAGAAGCTCTTGTTAAGTTCCTAAACAAACGTCCTTGGATAAAAATACCAAACAAGGAGAACCCCCTACCCCATATGAAATTGGCAATTCAGTCTCTCCTTCACTTCTCGGGTCAGCCGTTCTACATAACCTGTGAAGGCGACATCCAACCAGTTCAGTCAACCTTAACGTTTTGAGTAAAAACATTTTTTTTCATTTTTTGAATGAAGCAAGTTAAATTCGTCCCACACCAATCTCAATGGACCGATGAAGAGTTTCAAGCCATGGTTGAAGGCGTTGAGAACGACATAGACGGCGAACTTGAAGGAGCTCAAACCACAATTGCAACCAAAATTGCACAAGTCAAGGAACAGATAGCTCCACTTAAAGCTACCAAAGCTACTCTTGACCTCATGGATACTTACCGTTTAGAAGTAAAGAGTGGAATAAGACAATTAAAATTAAAAACTTCTAAACTACGAAGCTATACTCCAAAAGTTAGCAGAAATGAGAAGACTTTACCAGAGCTACTTACATGTAAGGGACTTACCTTCAAGCAGTCCGACCAAAGATGAATTTTCTGACATTGTCCCAATTTTGTCCGAAAGTCAGCTCAGATGTTTTGAACTGCTCCCAACATATCCAGAATATGAACGTTTGCCTGAACTCTTCCGCAATCTCAAAAAACGTTTTTTGGTTCTCATGTTCCAAACTTTTATCGGAAGAGACAACAAACGTTCAGAAGAAGAACAAGATATTATTTTAAACTTGTTGTATGACTTAACCGTCATAACAAGCTTTTTGAAGTAAAACCGTCATTCTCAAACCACTTCATTTTTTCGATGTCCGAACAAGCACCGAAGCCAAACTCAATGGCAGATGTCCTTTCAATGTTGCCAGACAAGCGCCCAGTTCAAATTCAAATTTTGAATTTGAAAGCTCATCTGACAAACACCGTTAAGACTCTCCAAAGTAGTCTTATGGAAGAGATGACCAAGCTCAAAGCCGATGTCCTCATGAACCAAGCTTCCAATGAGAAATGCCTGAATGATTTGACGGAAACCTTGCGCAATTACGAGAGAGAGAACCGAGACCTTGCCAGACTCATCTACCGTTTCTTCGAAGAGATAGACGCCATCTGGAAGGTACTCGGAAAGGACAGAACCTCCAACACCGTAATTCGTGAACACAGAATTGAAGAAGGAATTGTCGAGGAAGAAGAGGAAGAAAAGAAACACGAAGAAGAAGAGGAAGAAGAGGAAGAAGAGAAACACGAAGAAGAGGAAGTTTGGGCAACCCTTGTTGCCGATGACGCTTATGAAATTTCCCAACCCTACCCATACCAAATCCGCAACAGGGAGACAGGCAAGGTTCTTACCCCAGTCCTCAACAACTTGGGACACTTGAACCTTACCCTTCGGAATCGCGGTTCAATTTCCATGGGCAAGCTTGTCGCAATTCAATGGGTTCCAAATCCAGGCAAGAAGACGAAGGTCAGACACATTGACGGTGACAAGCTCAACAACCGTAAGGAGAACCTCGAGTGGTTCTAAGAGTAAAAAAATTTTATTTTAGGGGGAAACCCCGAGTAAAATTAGGTGTTTAGTTCATTAAGTGGGTTAAATTAAGGGTAATTTGGACAATTAGCTCCCGACCTCTGAATTGGACTCTTTCGTCATCCCAGTTGCGTAGGAGGTCGTCCCAGAGGAGTTGGTAGAATTGCCAATCCAAGGACGATTTGTCCTCCCAGGCATTGAGGATGTACTGCTCGTAGAGTCTCATGACCTCTGCCTTGCACCAGACACCCTCTCCCTTGGAACGTAAGGCTTCTTCGAAGTGCTCGAATGCGATTGGCTGCGTGACCATCTGAAATGACACTTTTTGTCCGTTTGGTCAATGTTTGTGTCTCGTGCCATAGTCGACGAAAATACAGACAAACAGGTTATATATGAGTTTGAGACCAAGAATGGTGTAACTCGACCTGTCCGATTCAAATTCGAATAAAAATTTTTTATTTCATGCAATGTTTAACTATTTCACCATCTTCTTTACCCCAGTACTTACGCTTGAGAGGACACATGAACTTCGGTGAAAATTTTGTCCAATTTGAATTGACCCATCTTTTCACCGACCATGCCCATTTCAATGAGTTTGTTATAGCCTTCTTCGTTCGTCATGAGTGCGTCAATGTTCTCATAGTAAACCTTCACTTTGGATTTGACTTCGGAGAAGAATTTGTTGTAGTTGTCAAGGACTGCCTTTGCGAACTGAGGGTAAGACCAATGTTCGACAATAGGTTTTAATGTGGTTACTAAGCCACTTTGACCTTGAGTGAATTCGTACTTCAAAACAAAAGGAGAAAACCTTTCAACAAAGTTGTCGACCTTCTCATAATGTTTACTCTTCATCTCTTGAGGTTTCTTAATGGAATATCCCCATGTCGAATTCATAAGCAATTTGAGTGTCATTGCAAGTTTGGGGTTTGAAGCTTTCCTAATATCATACAGTTGTTGTATGACTTTTCCAACTGTATAGTTCCTTCCTGGGAACTCACCATCTTCGTTTGGAATTCCAGTCGGGATATATTGGACAAACCTCATGTATGCAGCGTTAAGGTCGACATAGTATATCTTTTCATCTGAGTCGAACTTGTCGCAACCAATTGGTCCAGTTTGTGGAAATTCAAGTGAGTCTCTTATCTTCTGAGAAACTTCTCCTGTTATCTCATAAACATCGTCGAAGCAACCTGTTTCATATAAAACCTTCTGACCTAACTCAGATGCTCTCCAATACAATTTGACGTCAATTGGATGTCTCAATGGAAGTTTGTTTATAGCATCTTGAAGTTCTTGCAACCTCATTGGAAGTTCTTCTGGTTCAGGTTGGTATCCGAACAATCCAACTCCTTTTGGAATTGTGTACTTCTTTTGTACTAGAACTTTGTCTGGAACAACTTTTGGTCTTGCTAACAATGAAAAGTTTGTTTCGTCTTTTGGTACAAAAGTTTCTGTCAGCTTGTCATCTGGAATTGGTTCCAACAAACCTTTCTCGAAAAGAATGTTTACAGCTCTGACAATGTTGCACTTGCCTTTTCCGAACAATGGGTTTGTAAGACTTTCGTTCAACATGAAGTGGTTGTGGACAATTACAATCTTCAACCATGGTAAGTCTTTGTCAACAACATAGTCGTCATGTGAAGAACCTTTAGCTGTAGGTATGTTGACTCGGATATTGACATTTGCCAACGGTGCAATTTTTGCCAATTGACCTCTGAGAATGTACCTTGTCTTCACACATGACTCAAGATACTTCATCTTCTCATCTGTAACAAGACCAGAGTTCCTGAGACATGTAAGAATACAAGGTTCATTGACAATTGTTTCAATTGAATTGTAAATTCCATACCTTGTCAAGTCAATGTCAGACTTATTTATGAACGGGAAGTATCCAGCATGTTGTCTGACTGCTTGAGGGTTAGGTTGGTACCATTCGAACTTACACTTGCAATTCCTTCAATTGCATTCAAAATGTCTGAGTCGGAGTCAACCATTTGTTCTCTCTTTGTAGTCTTGAAAGCGTCAAGAAGCATTGCAGCTGTTGTGACATTGCCATGCGCATAGTAAATATGACCATCTAAATCTGTTATGGTCAATCTGAGATTGTATCCTTTCTTATTTCCATCTTGAATTGCAGCAAGTACTCCCATGAAGCCTTCTTTGTTCTTTCCTTCGTCAAAGTTTACTGTAAAGGTTCGACCAGATGTAATTTGACTTCTAACTTCACGGTACTTTTCATATGCATATCTTGTTCTTTCCATGGGAGCATGTGCGTCTTCACCTTTTCCTTTTTTCCTTCTCAAAGGATGCAATTGTTCGTCATGTTTCCAGTAGAATCTGGCAAAGCCGTCGTGTCCTTCAACTTGAGGTTCACTAACATCGAAAGGCATGTCCATAAGACGTTCTTCTTCTAACCTCTCTAGTCTGTTTGGATAATTTGCGCGTGCTGTTTCCAAGTCCATTTCATAGCGAAGACCAGACAATTTGTCATAGACTTTTATGGGTCTTCCCTTCCTATATTTAAACTTCTTTGAAACTCTCCAACCATATCTTTCAACTCTGCTTTTATTCTAGCAGATTTTCTATCCATTCTATATGGGGGCATTTTTATAAAAATAAAAAAATATTTTTTTTCTTTACTTTACATAACCGCCTGCTGCCATAAGTCTTTGACGCCAACCCATACCAGCTAATGAAGGTTGACTTGGTTTAGTTTGGAAACTAAACTTTGGTTTTGGTTTATCTTCAGTTTTTGGTTCCTTCTTCTATCGGTTTTTCGTCACTTTTCGGTTCCTCTGACTTTACCTCACTTGCAGGATGTTGTGTCGTCAACATCTTCATAAATATCATATGCCATTTGTTTTTGTTTTCCTTTCAACTTTTTGTGTTTGTTGTAAAGTTTAGAATATTTCGACTCTAAGTCAATGAGATGTTCTATAATGAACTGTTGGTCAGTGAAGTAAACTTTTCCATCTGTTGTCTCGAAAGCTCCTTCAGACTTCAATATTTTATTTGTGAGAGTCTGTTTCTTTTTTGAGATACTAGCCGTTCCATTTCTATGAAAAGTGACTTTATAGTTAGGGTTTGTATTTCCAGACCTGGCACTTTCTATTATTGAATTTTTCTCTTCATCTGTAAGTTCTTTGACAGGTTTTGACAATGGTTCTGAACTTTTTGTTTGTGGTGTCAAATCTACCGTTTCAACTTCTTCGGTCATTTCATCTCAGTAAAAAATTTTAGTTTGGTTTGTTTTCAACTGGTTGTTTTGTTTTTTAAGTCGGTCTAAAACTTCCTGAGGTATAGGAAGAACTTGACAAACACGTGGTTGTGTAACTGCTGGAAGCCGACAAATCCATCTTGAACCCATTTGTCTCAATGCTGTATTGTTCATTTCATCTCAGTAAAAAATTTTACATTCCCCACGTTTGAGGCGGTTGAGGTTGGTTATTGTTTACCCATTGTTGTGCATGGTTATATCCTCTGTTAAAGAATCTTTCACCTTGGTCCATATAGTGTCCTGCTTGGTTATAGTAGTCATTTGCTTTGTTATAATAGTTTCCTGCTTGTCTTCCTACATTGTCCATCCATCCTTGAACTTTTCCTCTTGTTTCAGGATTTGGAATAAGATTTGCTGCATCTCGTGCTACATCCCAACCTTTCTGTACAGTTTGTATAATAGGTTGTGCTTTCTCTTTAAGTATACCTAATGTACTCAAAATCTTCCTTCCAACTCCAAATACACCTCTGGCTATTGTTCCCACTGCGGGCAAAAATCTGGATGCAACTCCTGCTAATGCGCCAAATAAACCCATTTCTTATAGGGTAAAAAATGACGAATCCAAACAAGGACCCCTATGTTTCTAAGGCAACAAAGAAAGCACTCATGATAAAAATCTTTAGTTCAACACCAAATGCTTGGTTTATGGATATCTTGGAAAACATTCCGAGGTATAGAGAAGATGGACCACCATACTGGCTAATATTTGTCGGTCAAAACACAAGATACTGTGAAGCCATACCATTATGTCCAAAAATATTTTAGATGTGAAAACTGCTTTGACAATATTCGTTGACAAATACCATCCAACAAAACTGACATCTGACTGTGAAAGTTCTTTCAAATCAGACGATATAAAAACTATCTGCGTTCAAAAAATGTAAACCAATATTTCATTGTCGACCAAAACCATTCTGCTCTTGGTGTCATTGACAGTTGTATAAAAATCTTAAGAGACTTAAACAACCACAAGGTGGTGAAGCAAATGAAATGTCATATGACGACAAATATAGACACTTCTCCATGGCAAAGATGAGACAAGTTTTAAATATTTACAATAGCCGTAAACAAAAAGGTTTGGGAAACCACTCCCCCGAAGAAATGAAAAACAACCCCGACTTAGAGAAAGACTATATATTTAATAGTTTAGTCAAAAGAGACAAACAAGAAAGAATGCCAGGCTTCAAACTTAAGAAAGGTGACAAAGTAAAAATAGAAATACCTAAACGCGACCCATATGAAAATACTATTGACTATGACAACAATGGGAACTCGACAGGTACTCACATTCGTGTTCGTAAAAATAGAAGAAAGTATACAAGAGAATATTATGAAGTTTTAGGCAAACATGGCAAAATGTACAGACTGCAAGCAGAAGATAAAACTACTATTGTCAGACCTCGTTTCAAACTTGTCAAAGTTCAAGGTGGTATACTTTCAAAGACAGTTCCTAACAAATATAAGACAACTCCTGACGAATATGCTAAAGAAGTTGAAAATGACGACTAAGCAATTCTATACCATGCGTAAACTGTCATGTAAGGTGGCATGTAGTCTTTACTTTGTCCCGTTGTTTGCGTATACCCTGAAACGCGATGTGTATGGTTTCCTCTCCCTGAGTGTTACTCCAGTAACAATTTATAGCAAACTTAACGTCGTCTTTAACATCATATCCTTTACCTTTTTCATTCCTGACCAATCCCAAATCTATGCTTATGCCAACCTGCTTGAGATGTACTTAAATCTATGTAGTGACTGTGTGCAGGTAAATTTTCACCTGAAATCGTTTTACTTCCACCTGTTTCCTTTGAAGAGTTTGCACAATACAAAAACCTGTCGACTATTTGAGTCCAAGTTCCAAAACCAAGTACTACTTCTGGTCTGGTAGAGTTCATTGACGTGTAAATAGAACCTATAGGATATAGTGTTTGAAGTATTTCTGTCTTTAACGTTTGAAGCTCTGTTTTGTCAGCTTTTTTATCATATAAATCTTGAGCAGTGAATTTAACTTTTTTTTCATCCTCCATGACATAGACATTTCTACATCTAATGTATTTCATCGTTGTTATGTTTTCATCCGATGTTAAACCTTGTGGAAAGTTAGGAGGTTTCCAATCTAATACATCCCCACCAGCTCCTTCAACCGTTCCTTCAATATTTTCTATACCAACAGTTGCGAAGAAATCGTGTGTATGTCCAACGTCACTTTTCCTGTTTAAGGTTTCTTGTAAGTTTGTAATATTTGCAATGGTATGTGTATGGTTCTTATCCGCTTTAAGGTCTAAACATCCTGAAACCCACCCTGTATTGGCTTTACCTTCTAAAATCTTCGATGTCCGTTCATTATACCATTCAACCCTTTCTTTAATTTCATTGTCTTTTTCATCCACATATTCCTTATCTGCCTTCTTCACTAACGCACTAGCCATACAACCCCTATCTACCTTCTCCTCTAACTCACTGTTGACATATGTTTTGTCAGCTTTCTTTTCAAGGCTAACGTTTAAGTCTGTTATTTCAGATATAGAATGTGTATGTCCAACGTCACTTTTCCTGTTTAAGGTTTCTTGTAAGTTTGTAATATTTGCAATGGTATGTGTATGAGTCTTTTTAGAATATTCGTTTTCAGCTCTTGTCACTTCACTTGACATTTTATTGTCAACATATGTTTTGTCTGCTAGTTCAGGATGAGTATGTTCTTTTGTTGCATAAGCATTGTTAGCTCTTTCTTCTTCTTTTGCTATTGCATCGTCTACATATTCTTTGTCAGCTTTGTTGTCAACATCTGTTTTCAAAAGAAGTTCATTTATAGGTTTCTCGTTTAAAGTTCCTTTTGTTGGATTTATACAGACAGTATTGTTCTTATTGTCTTGAAACAGAAACTCATCTGTCATTGGGTTTAATGTCAGTTTTAAGTTTCCTTCTTTCAATGACTCAGATATCTTAGAATAGTTTGAAAAGTTTGTTGTGTTCTTATTTAGAGCTTGCATAATGAGTTGTCGGTTGTGTTGTATTTCTCTCATAGACGCTGTTTCTTTCGACATTTTTATTCTAGATAAAATATGCTTCCAATAGAAAAAGAAAATTCAAGAGTTGCTACAACTAAACCATTAGATGAACTTTTTACTAATGTCGGTCAAAAGTTTGAGACAGAGACCGTAAAGCATGAAGGCTATCGTTTTGACTACCCATTAAGATGGCTAAGAGACCCATCTGTCACAAAAGCTATTGGCTTTCGTAGAATGAAGTTTGTATCTGTAGAAGATAAAAGTTTTCCATTTATTGTAAGGTTTCATATAGATTATATATCTGAAGGGAAACGAAAAATGTGGGAAGAAATTGAGCTAATACAAGTTGACCTTTCATCTTCTCTACAGACTGCGTTAAAAAATATAGAAGATAAAATAAATTCATGTTATGCAAAATATGCTGATGAATATGCAAATACCGAGAGCACACTTTATGTGAGAATTGTATATGACAAACAAAATTCACAAGTGTCATTTCAAATCTACGAAGACAATCCAAAGAAAGACGAACAAATATATACAGAATTCACTGCAATGTCATGGTATTATTTGCAAAGAATGTTAAATCAGAAAGTCGAACTTCCTTTAGCAAATATTTACAGTCGATATGCAAGAGATGAACCATATTTATTTAAAGATGTTTTCGACCCAGCTGCTATTATTGTTCATGCTTCATTTTCTGGCGCCCAAAACTCTTTTTTATGCTTGGCAAATGACTTTTACGAAAAACCTACAAAGTTATACGAACCACCAAGTGGAAGTATTTCAGACTTTCAAGTATGGTTTACTACAGATGGAAGAAAAAGAATAATTCCATTATACCATGCGTTTTACTTAGAACTTAGTTTCATATACAACTACTATCGAACGGTAAAAATATAATTTTTTAATACGGTTGAGGTGTTGGATTTGGTTGCCAACTAGACTGTGGTGCAGGTTCAGGCTGTTGTATAACAGGAGCTTGCTCTTCTGGTTCAGGGTCTTTAGGTATAATACCAACAAACTGACCTACTCTTTTACCAATATTTTTGACACCGTTCCAAATTCCTCTTCCTACGGTTTTTATTCCATTCCATATACCTCTTCCAACATTTCGAAAGAAGTTTCCTATCTTACTGAAGAAACCCATTTTACTATATGTAAAAATCTAATGTCCGCCTAGTCTCTTACGTTTCCTGTTGAGTTCCATAGCATTCTTTAACTGGAGCTCATACATTCTGTTTCTCCTCTGGTAGAAAACATATTCTGGGTCAACTCCTGTGTTCGCGTCATCTGCATAAAGTTGTTTATATCCCACTTCAGGGTTTGTATAAAACTCTTTCCATCTCATATTTGCATACCATGGTGGCAAACCTAACGCAGCGTCATTTGACATGGCAGTTTGCATTTGTACATCTGTTGGCACTTGACCATAGTTTGCCATTGCAGTTTGTATTCTAACTTCATTTGGAATATTCTCTGGGTTTGGTTGTCCAGGTTGCTGTGCATTCGCTAAGTTCTGTGCGTCCATTTAATATTAGATAAAAATATCTCTTACGAGTACATATGCTGAACATTTGCTGGTATTGGTTCATCTTCATATTCTCTGTACCTTTCTGCCACGTCAAATAAGTAAATGACACAATGGAAAAAACCTAAAACAAGTAGTCCTATTTCAAACCACATTTACTTACTAGTAAAATTTCTTTGTTATGACACTTTCTCCAGTTTATAGGACCTCTCTCATATTCTATCTTGTCATATCTAAACTCATAGTCATGTATGTCCTCTAACCATCTCATGACACTTTCCAAACCACTTTTATCGGATGTAAAGTAAAAGCATGGATGGTTATGTAAAACGTCTAAAGTTTCTAAAGAGTCTCTCAAAGTCCAGTCTACTTGGTATTGAAAATCCCATGTGTTATAGAACGGCGGGTCCACTATAAAGAAAACATTTTCCTTGTCTTTATATTTTTCATACAACTCTGTCCAATAACATCTCACAAACTCTATACCCTCAATATATTTTTCTATGTCCTCTTTGAAAACATTTGTATAGTTAAGATATAAAACTTTTGACATAAGTGTTTCAATGTCATGAACTCTTATAGCACCACTATATAATAGTCTAGCAGATATACTATCCCAGTCAATATACTCTGCCTTTTTCAAAACCTCTCTGACAGTATTTTCTTATCTAATGGTATACGTTCCATCTTACCTATAGGTATCTTTTCTTTTAACTCTTTCAATATTTTGTTTGTGTCTGGTATATGTTTGAGACGGTCCATATAGTTGTCGAAGTCATTGCATATAATCTTTGAGTCAGGAAATATTGTATGGCACAAATGAGATATATAGAAACTTCCACCGAACAAGTCTACAAATGTTAGACCATTCGGTAGTTTCTTAAGTTCTCTCAATAGAATATCTTTACATCTACTCTTATTTCCAAAGAAGGGTAACGGTGGTTTTGTAAAATTCATTTTATATATATAATAAAAATGTTTTTTCCTGAAAAGTGACAGAAAAGTGACAAAACATGTACGAAGAAGTCTTGAAAATTCAAGAGGGTAGAAAAGAGGTTAGAAAAGAGGTTATATCTAACCTTCTACCCTAAACATTATTTTTGTCTGATTTTACGAAGAAGTCTTGACAAAACATGAAAACATATATAATTTGTGAAAAGCTCCTGGAAGACCCGTATATAAGAACTTCATTTATACTAAACATCTTCGGGGCTAGAGGGCACGAAGTGCCTGGAAGCCCCACTCCCTTTTTTTTTTTTTTTTTTTTTTTTTATATATAACTATTTTATATAAAAATCAAATTCAATGATCTTAAAAGCGAAGGATAAACCTCAAAATTTACGAATATAATGAGTGGGAATAGGCGTAAAGCAAAAATTGATATTTCATATGGTTTTATGATAGATAACCATTATATTCCCACTCATTATATTCGTAAATTTTGAGGTTTATCCTTCGCTTTTAAGATCATTGAATTTGATTTTTATATAAAATAGTTATATATTAGAAAATAATATGAGTTTATGTGATATTATTTTTCAGAAGATTTTGTGTTCTTCTTCAAAATTTTATTTTTTTATTAAAAAGAATCTTTACAAAATATACATTTACTTTAATTAATATTTAAAAACGTGCTCTATCAAAAGTTCCAAAAATTCAATATTTTAGCTTTTCTGAGGTGTCACTTTTGATGAATTTCTGTTTACAACAGTATTAACTCATTTTCGAATCCTTCTTGTATTATTAATTTTTAACATTATGTTAACATTATTGTCTGATTTTAATGAAAGATTCCGAGTATATTGTCCGAAAAAGTATAAATTCACATCTTTTTAAAACATGTCGTTGACTTTTATAATCAATAATCAACTTTTTTTAAGAAATTGAAAAATCAAATGGAACTGTAGTGAATTATTGGGATATTCATAAAAACATGAATATTTGTCATCTTATTAGAAAAACATATCAAATTTATTTCGAAATAATAAAAAAAGTTATAAAATCACAATTTGAATGACTTAATTTGATTCTTCTGGTAAAGAGCACAATGATCTAACAGCATTTTCTAGCTGTTGATCAAGCGGAGACTCTTCATCAAAATCGAAACTGTATTTTTGCAGTAATTGCTTCAACTGAATCTGGAATAATTCGCTTCCACCTGCAAGAGCATATCTTCCTACGAGAAGGTCGAACTTTGCTTCGTATTCGTCAAGATTATGTGAATGATCGACCAAAAGTGAGCATAAAACGTCCATGTAGTGTTCATCAGCTCCAACCTCTGATATATTACTAATTTCTCGTTCGGATACTGAATTCTGAGCTTCTATTACCTCTTCTTCCTCACATTCAATATTATATTGCTCGCAAGCAGCTTTGAGCGTATCAATATCGGGGCATGGAAATACAAACTCCCATCCTGCATTAAGAAGATCTGATACAAAGGCTGGATACGTCTTTGCTCTCTCAATTGTAACGTTTGAAATGGCTTTTCCATTAAGAACTTTGAGATTGTCGCCGAATAAAACTCTAGCAGCTACTGGGAAGTATTTTGGCTGGGATAATGGAGTATTTTTAAGTGAAATGCAAGTTGCATTTGAAATCGCTTTGAAATTCTTCCATGTATTGATTTGTGAGTTATCTGCAATAAATTTTTGAATGGATGGTTGTTTGCGGAGAGTTTCTATTGATTCTAATTTTGATCTTGACATATTAAGTTCTTTTAAGTGGCTACGGGAGCCAATTGGTGCAAGAGAATCGACATTAACACCTGTTATATTGATAATGCCGGTCCTTTTGAAAGAGAGTTCACGTTGTGTAAGCCACTGAGGACCTTTCATTTTTTTTTAAGGGTGCGCCCGGGAGGATCATGTAAACTTCAGAATTTAGAACCTTAATTTTTAAGCAATTACTTGGTACCTAAATAGGTAGGAAAACTCTAAAAATATCAAAAAATACAACTTGGCTCCATAATAATCTTGTCATGGTGGCTGTTTGTATCCCCTAGTATTTTCCTCTTGAATCTCTTTTTCTGTCGAAATTAAATTCAAATCTCAGAAGTAGAAGTGAATAATCGACTTATTACTGCTATTATACGAATAAATAAATTCATTATATTATTTTTATTTACATAATATCTGTTTGAAGTCCATAATTCTATAAATTTTTCTTCAAAAACATTACAATCTTGATAGTTTTGATACTGTTTAATAGGTTTTTAGCACCTTATTTAGTATTTACTACGTATAGAGTCGATCTGAACTTAATTTTCGGAAATTTAAAATATTTATTATAAGTAAAATCTGATTTGAAATTTATGTTTAACTACTCATATCTTGCATTATCCTGAGTAGCTTTTGTAAAAATTCATCAAAAAAGATTTTAACGTGCTTTAATTTTTATTTTTTAAAATAATGCATATTATTATATAACTAGCATATTTACAAATTTTAGTGCTTTCAAAAAATTAATCCTCCTCCTCTCAAATAAACGTACATCCGGGTGGCCTGTTTTTTGCAAAAAATAAAATTTCATTTTTTATGCTTAAAAAGTCAGAATTTTTATTTGCTTCTGGGATATATGATGGCTATATCAGATGCCCATTCTTTTTGATACTCAACATTAAACATAAAACTTAGCCGTTAAGGCTCTTCTGAAATATTTTTTTTCCGAAAAATTTTCGAAAAAAATCAAAAAATTTAAAAATCCCCGAATCTGCAGGGATTTTAAAAAATTCTTTTTAGTAAAACTTAAGGATATTGTATCAGATATATTGGTATGGGCAAATTCAATTTTAATCCAATATTCATCGAGATATTAAGTTAACGAAGCTTTCAAAATTGAGAGGGTAATCCTCCTCCTCTCAAATAAACGTACATGCGGGTGCACCCTTAAATTAAACAATTAAATAAAACAACGTCTCTGAACGTGTAAATGCATTTCATTTTGTTCTTGTTACATCAGTTTGTGAAAAACAATTATTAAAAATAATTATTCTAAAAAATAATGTAATTTCAACATTTCATTCAGAAATTTCTTGCTGTAGATGTAGTAAATGAATAATATTTTCAACCAAAAACTTGTGTGCATTGGTGTTCAAGATATAATATGGAAGTCCAATGATTTCTTTGAGGTTTTACATTCAGTATCTTGAGATGATAAAGATGATATTTTGCAATTTTCGAATAGGCTTGTATAAATACAGGTGGTAATATACATTTGGAATTTCAATAACATTTGATTAATTATTTTTGAGATTTGAAAATTCAGATCATAACATATTAATTCTTTGGCACACAATATACTCTATGAGTATGTTTATACGATTGCCATATTTTATTATCAAAATAACGAGTTAGAATTTAATTTCGATTTATTTTCTTCGTTTTCCATGAAGATTCAAGAAATAAACAATAACATTAAACAATCTTTAAAGCCATATTTCATAATATAAACTAATATAAAAAGTCGTCAGAATTTAATGTTAAAAGTGACATTATCTTACTTTTTAAAAAATATTTCGATTTTATCTAGTGTTCAATAAAGTAGAATATCCAATAGATATTTGGAAAAGGTACTATGGAAATCCATACGAAGAATATGCGAACATTACAAATAATACAAGTCCATCTATTAACAAAAATTTCTTTTTACTTTCTTCAGATTTCATCAATTTTTCAGATAATGTCATTAATTGCAGTGTTGATTATATTAAATTGTTACATTCGATATGTACATTTACTAATATTACACTGACAAAAGGAAATGGAGGCTGCATCTTCTTCAAAGGCAACAGCTCCATTGTTCAAGACCGATTTTGTGCTATTAAATGTTCAACTAATGGCGAAGGACTATTTTCTTTTGTAGAAGTTAACGCAGGAAAAATATTAAATTGTGAAACGTCTTCTTCATCGCACATACCAGAGCCTGATCAATGTAGAGATATTCCAATAAAATATAACAAAAATTTTGTCGTCTTAGGCTCTCGCTTTAAATGCTGCTACGATGAATATGTATTCTCTATAGCAAATTATAATAATTATTATAATACTTATAGAGATAAAATTGGATATGACATTATACATCATTCTTATGGGGATCAAACTCTTATTTCTACAAACAATACTAATACAAAATGTAGCCAATATGCAGGTTATTATTTTGGAAAAGATCCTGTTAGTATTAAGGATGGGCACTCATAGGCTCCTGACAGCATAAAAATGTTATTATCTCACAATATAAAAGGAATCATAGGAATCTACAACTATATCTATATTGTTAGAAGACTTCTTAATGTATCATGTATATAAGTTATATCAATAACTCCATTATGTTATATGATTGTAATCATATTTTCGTTTCATGTTCAAAAACATTAAAATCATACTAACTATATGAGTATTATATTTAGGAAGCTGATATATAGATATGATAAAATGCTAGGTTTTGTGATTAAGAATATATACTTATCTTTTAGAAAATAATACTTTTATAAAAAATTATATCTTATATAATCTAAAAATTTTGGACAATTAAAAAACATTAATTAAAAATAGAAGGTGAAAGTGTTTATTCAAAGAAGGTGCAAGATTATGATGTTTTGAGGGTGAAATAAATTTAATAATTATTTATGTGATTTAAGAGTAATACGATCATCGGTAGCTTGAAGACCTCTCTTTATAGCTCTTAATGCCGCAAACTTTTTTTGAACTTGCTTTGAATTTTTGAATGCTTTGATTAAATCTTTTGTTGTATCATACATTCTGAAATATCTGTTCATCATTTCTGGCATTGTTGGTAAATTTAACCTGTATCTTATTGCTACAATCGTTTCAAACATACTTTCATTGAAATGCAATATTGTGACTGCCATCCTAATTGGCCAAGAAGCATGCCAATTAATATTTTTATTAGCAAGCATTGCTTTGATATGGTTTATCGATTCAACTACTTGAGTTGAATGAATCTTTTTTACCATATCAAAGATTTTTACGGTATCTTCGAGGAATTTTTAAGTGTTTTTATAGCAGTTTTATTTTTTGCATATTTCCATGGTTTAATCATCTTGCATTTTTCAGGATCTGGACAAAATTTATGATTTCCGGCATAATGTTTAGCGGAATTCAACCATAAAAACTTCTTTGTTTTAATTGACATATGTGTGTCATTGAGAAGTTGCCTAAGCCAACGCAATAAATTCTTTGAAATGCTAGATAAGATTCTGAATTCTGGCAGTTTGAGCTTTTTCTGTATATTGTTAAGAAAATGTCCAGGATCTCTGTATTCTCTGATACCTTTGAACGTATTTTTGATTGTAGAAACAATTTTGACATCGCCATCATGCACAAAAAAATTTACACGTTTTTCATTATTCCAACGCTTCAGCATTCTTTTTAAGCCTTCAAATTCCATTTCATTTGATTTTCCGTTGAAATTACCTTTGAAATTTTTAAAAGATTTAGATATCACTTCCCAATCTACAATTTTTTTGAGTTTCTCTTCTACAAATTGTACATAGCAAAACATTGCATTTCTTCTCTGACTCCAAGAACCGTCAAACAAAACTCCCGAACATTTTCTCATTCGAGATTTCCAATAATTAACAGATTCTCTGGCAACTTCTATGATAACACGACCAACCTTTTCTTGGACTCGATGAAATGTAGCTTCTGACGGAACTTTGATGTTATTCAGCATGAATTGAAATTCTGATTGGCAAAATGTAGCGCCGCTCAATAATACAGATAGCACAAATTCAACAGTGTTGACGACATATGGCTCTACCCTATTTTTCGCGCTTTGAACTAAGTTCTTTATACGCTTTGCAACTGCTTTTGTTCGCCGCGGCATGAAAAATGAAGAATAACTTGACGGTTTCTTGAACAAATGGTCGCACATTCAAATATTGTGATGTACGATCAGGATAAAAGAATGCTGTTGCCATGAATTTAGAAAATAGCAAAATTTCAATTTACGCAATCGAGATATAACTTGATCGTTTGAGCGATAACCATGGCACCCATAGTATTAATGAAAGTACTCATACTTACAATTATTTTCTCCCATAGGAATATTGTTCAATATACTTCACCTATAGAGGAAATCTCGAAATAAAATCGAATTTTTTCAAAAATTACAAAAATCAATTTTTTACAAAGATGTTCGAAAAATAACATTATATACGCATCAAATCAAAGCATTATATGGAGCATTATAATTCTATATATGATTGTCCATCTTGCTGTTGTGCTATTTTTTTTAAACAATAATTTCATTGTTGAAATTAAATTTGCAATTTCAGTAAAAATTGCGACCCATCATTTTGAATATAATTGAATTAATACATTTATTGTAAGAATATTATATACCAAATATTAGACTTCCACATGAATCCTGGTATGATATTATAAGTATTGCAAAATTAGAAAAAATATGCTCATGATATACTAAAATTCATGTTTCAAGGTTAACTTATAAATAAAATAAGTTCGAGAAATGCATCACTAAATATTTGAGCTTGTGCACTATAATGCTATATAATAGTCTTCACTGTTTTTAATATATTGACTTTGCTAGACTTGATTTTTTTCATCACCCTAATGAGTGCCCATCCTTAAATTTTGTTGTTTCATTTCTAATGATAACCATATACGTACCATTATTATACGCCTAATTCATTTGTTAAACAATCAATATTCAAAAATAACTCATGTCGTCAAAATCGTGCTATTTATCCTGGTCTTCTTTCAATTTATGATGATTCATCAAATGTTACTATTTCAGATTGTATTTTTTTAGAAAACAAAGCCCAATATACATTTTTTGCACACAATGGACTTAT